CGAAGAATTCAGCAAGGTAGGAGAAAAGAGCCTGCTGATCAAGAGCTACCCTCATCTGGGGAAGACAACAAATTCGAATGAGAACTAGCAGCTTGCTCAGAGCCTCTACTGAGTTTCCAGAAAACACAAGAACTTCCAAGGCCCAGAGAAGTTGAAGGATTCCATCCAGGTCACACAGGCAGTGAGTAGCAGGGCCAGTTCCTCCCAGTCTGGCATGGCATAGCAAACTGCAATGGAGTAACTTCTAGGAAATAATGCCTACGCCGACTTCCCTCTCGGTGAAAGAAAAGAGCTACTGTCTGCATACAATGAAGTCATTTGATTTCCTCGTGCCTCCAACAGGCAAGCTCCCCTATCCTGTCATCTGCTTCTCAGCTGAACTTGAAAAGGGATTTTCTCTTATAAATATATCTTAAGCACTGTGTGGTGGACAGGATAATTAACTGGAGGTCAGGGGGCTTAATTCATCTCTTGGCTTGCTAGTGACTACTTTGGTCAGTGACTACTGGATTTTGAGTAAGCTACTTCATCCCCAGGGACCCTCAGTAGTTGCATCTGCAAAATGATAGTGTTCACTTGGGTCTATTGTTCTCTGGTTCAACCCTGGAATGCTAAGAATACATGGTTTATGCCTGAGGGACCGATACAGAGAAGATCAAATGGGCAAGATTTAGTCCCTCGCTATAGCTTAGTTTTACATACCGGGGTTCCCAAGCTATAAAAACCCTAAACCATGTAAAGAATTATCCAGACCCTGATAATCTCTGATTCCAAGACAGTTGATGGTTCTAAAGATAGTTTGTGCCCGAATGCCTCAAATGAATATAATTTTGGATGGACTAAAAATAAAGAATGCTGGTTTGGGTTTCTTGTTTTTTTGTTATTTTTTTTTTCAGAACAGCATAGAGAGAGTGGACTGAGAAAAACTATTTTGTGAATAGGGAATTATGTGGCTTTCCTGCCAAGATTTATTACATAAGCATGATTTGTCCTCAGCAGCCCCAGCCCTGGTTGAAGCTTTACTGCATGTACATCTGCCTGAAGGATGTGTGCTGGGAGAGTCTTATAGTCAGAACCCACACACATTCCTGCATGGAGCTTGGCAGACCTTCCAAGGAAGTTAGTGGGAAAAATGAAAGTTACATTCCTTGTTTCTGCCTCTAGAATCTTAATCATATTAGGAATTTATTTACCCACTAGATAAATGCTGGTTATTGTGACAGTAAGCTAATTTAAAAATATAATTTTAGAGAAATATTTAAGCAAGTGGACTCACCCAGTGTTAGTCCAGAACAGCTGTTCAATGGTCTGGTAAATGTAAGGACTATAAAGAAACTGACATTCTCATGATGTATTGCTTGGTATCAATGGAAAATGTTCTCTAGGGCTCAGACATTGGGACAATAAAATACAAGGAGCCAAGGTAACATTTAGAGAGTGAAATATTAGAATCTAGGTAACTGGAAGTTTTCTTTCATTGTTTGTAGATGAGCACCCTGGAAGGTCCCACTAAGACTGTCTTCAAGTGAGTGAAGGTATTTTGTAAATTTCACCATCATTTCTCTTGTCCCTGTAGAAACAAGGGATGAGGTTTACTTGTGCCTATTTCAATATGAATGACTAGAGAAGATCTTTATTGTCTTGATAAGTGTAGGAGGAGCACGTGGAGAATTGTTATCAGAATACCACATCCATACCAGGTTGGATGTTTTAAGAAGCCCTTTCTTATGCCTATGTGAACAGATAGAGAGCCTTAGTCAGGTGTGATAGCTCAAGTCTGTAATCCAGAACTTTGTGGAAGAGAACTGAGACAGGAGATTGCCATGAGTTTGAGTCTCCCCAAGGATACCTAGCAAGACCTGGACTCAAAAACAGAAAGGGAAGAACTGTCCATATAGAAGTAGAAGTGACAAGAGCAGGATAAGGTGTACCTACAGAATGAGAAAGACCTGCCAGCAAGGACAACTTTGGGGGTATGTTAGCCTTGACAAGGACCTGGATGAGATCATCTAGTGAAGAACTGCATGCCAAGACTGTATATAATAGCTTGGGGCCCTGGAGATTTAAAGAGCTTTGAGATCTGGCCCTTATCAACCAGGGCTTTAGATTCCTTCAGACAGTCCTGAAACAACTCAGCTAGACACAAAGGCCAGATCACCAATTTGTTTATGGATAACAAGAATGAACACATATGCTCATTCTGGATTGATGACAGCTCATGAAAAAACTGACGATGGAGACAAACTGCTAGACCAGGGTGAGAGGGTCCTTTGGATTTGTCCATGTTATGGAAGTCAGAATAAATGCTTGTGAAGATTCTCAGACGTCTGCTCTTGATAAGGTTTCCAAACATTCTTCAGTGAACTCAGACCTGCCCTCAGTGGTCCCATGTGCATGCTTTTATTTTGCCACTAGAGTCAAGCTGCCTGGTCATTAAAAGTCATTTGGTAACCATAGAATCAGACCCATCTCTCTTGGAGAAATATTTCGTAGAAAACCTAGGAAGTACATCTAACCCATTTCCTGTATCTCTGATGAGTAGATCCATCAGTGTTGCCCAGCTACCACTTTCCTCTCCTGGCACAGTTCTAAAGGAACCAGACCACTCCGTCCCTTGACTCATTTAGTGTACCACTCACCATGCTACCTCCTCTTTGAATGGTCCATTTGTACTTTAAAGCATTGATCACTCTGATTCCCGCATATTCTAGGATATCTGGAGAACTTTGTAGTGCATTCTCATTTGTGTCTTTTCATTTGTTTATTGTCTTCTGTGCTTGGAATTGAACCCAGGGCCTTCCATATACAAGTGAAGTGTCCCACCAGTGAGCTAATCTCTCTGGCTCGGCTTCAGGATGCCTATATTGATATTTTCAAGAGGTTGGAGGGAATCTATGTATGAAAGAATTGTGGAGCAATAAATGGGTCCCCCCAAATATGGTATCTTCCCTAAATTTACTAGATCTAGACTTGGATTCAAACAATATCCCAAATATGATATGATCCCATATTTCTTGACATTTGATTTCTTCTTGCTGTGCTAATGTCCTTTTTAGAGCCATTTCCAGTTCAACTTTGAACATAAAGAGAACCATGTTGCTAGAATACTGCTCTCCCATGCTCCACCCCTTCCCACAGGGTTTCTGCCAGGGGCTGAAGAGTGATGCTGTGGGCCACTTACAAATCCTCTCCTCTCTTTCCCATCTATGGGTCACTTGAATTTACCCTGTTGACCTTGCCATGATGGTTTCCATCCTCATTTTCCTGCCTGCAGAAAGGGTAGTTGAAGCAGTCTCAAGTCTCCGTCAGCTCCAGGTTCTCAGGAGGATTCCCTCAGCACAAAGAAGCTGAAATTGCATGCACTGACAATGGCTTTTGTTTCTGTCCTCGCCATTCTGAGGCTGCCTCGTCATTCTCTAGGTATCTGAAGCAGAATGAAAGGGCCCCCTGTGGGCTTCATTTCAGTTGCTCTCTGTGCCATTTTTCAGGGACCAGTCTCTGGTCCATCCCCCATGCACAAGTGTCCCTTCAGTCCTCGGAAGCTTGCAACCCACACAGAGCATTCTAATTAAAAATGTGCATTTTGAGAAAAATGTGCAGTCACACCCCCATACAGTGGAAGAAAGGATCTCTGTGAGCTCCCCGTAGATAGAGAATGAATCTCCTGTCAGAAAGAGATTGTCTATTCTGCCAGTACTTTCTCCAAACTTCAGAATCCTGCCAGCAGAGGACCTTCAGTTTACCAGCCCCATGGGCACAAGAGGAGACTCTTATTACCACCTGTGAGGACCTTCATAGGCGAAAACATATTCATAGGACCTACTGTATGTCTTGCCTGCTGCTCAGTGTCATGAAGGATCCAAACATAACATGTGGTAGACTCTTAATGAGTCAGACGTGGTTTGGATGGAGGTTCTAGAGTGTGCAAACTCAGTGGCCTCTTTGAACATCACAATCTTCATCTGGAAACAGAGGTGGATGCTAAGTTGGTTCATGATGACTTCAAGAAGTAAGGCATGCAAAGCACCTGAGTGATTCCACTCAGAGCTTAGTAACTGCTAGCTACTATCATGATCAAAAGTGGGGGGATGGCATTCACTCAGTGGGCCTTGGTCAAGAGCCTTTCATATTTCAGTCTCCATATTAGGACACTGGCTATGCATTGCTAAACACAGGAGGCACCAGGGCTGTTCTCACGGAACTTGTGGTCTCATGGGAGACACAGTCTGTATAAAATAAACAAACCTATAAATACACAGTGATGAGTTATGGTAGGTGCTATGAAGGAAATGGATGGGGTCTGCCCATGCTTGTGAAGTTCATGTGGGTATAACCACGTGGGAAGAGATTGTTAAAGAGGAAATACCCTTGTGAGAGAGACACGCAGGGGAGGGAAACACACCGACAACAGGAAACTTGGTTTTGTTATGTTATTGACTCAGAATATTTTAAAGTTTGAGCATGTATTGAGAAATGTCTGCTCCACATCTTATACTTTAGAGCCAGGTAAATGGAACATGAAGAAATGAGTTGCCCCCAGGCATAAAATTAGCTTAGGAGAGTGTGATCTAGAACTCTAAGGTTTTGTTTTCTGTTATAACCTACTTCTTGTTATGTTCCATCTATCAGAACACCTAGGGTTTTCTTAATTAAGCGACAAGAAAAACATAGTATCAGTGTGTCTTTTTCTTTTGTCACTAATAAAGGTCTTCCCTTGACATTTCCAGGAAAAGGAGACTTACGGCAAAGAACCTATGAGAATCCTCCATACTTTAAGCTGTTTGAACTGGAGCCAACTCCTACTTCTCCATCAACATGCTCCCTTTGGTTGTTTCCCATTGCTTATGTGAGTATGTTGCAATCACATTCCCACAAATTCTTACAATACTCTGGAGCCTAGAGCCCAGGGCTGGCTCTCAAGCTTAAAGATCTTAATGTTGGACACCACCCTCCACTGCATATGCCATGGATCACTATGGCAACTCTGCCAGGCTGCTCACTCACACCAACCCAGAGAGGACTCTCACTAGGGACTTGCTGCTGTCACCAACACTTGGGCATAGCACAGAAGAAGTAAGATTCCAGCTAGCTCTAAGGGAGGCAGATGTTACAGATGGACATAGCATGGGCTTAGATGAATCTTGGTTTAAATTTGAATTTAGCTTTCAAAGTTGCTGTAAGGCAAATAAGGAGGTACTTGAGATGATGGATGGAGCACATGAAGACCCTCAAACATGCTTTCTTTACTTGGAGGTACATGTACAACACCTTGTGATAGGCACTGTTTGCAAACATGAACTCGTCCTCTCTTATTCTCCCTGAGAGAAGACTGTACAAACAAAAGAAGTTTCACGGGGTAGTGGGCTATGTACAGAAAGCTTCTTGGAGGAGTACCTTACTGTGGCTGAAATGTATCTATTCATGCCATCTCCCGAGCAGGGTAATACAAACTTCCCTATACTCTTAGTTAGGAAACACCATCTGTGGTGGTTTGGATGAGAATGTCCCACACAAGCTCTGGCACTTGATAGTACTGTTTAGTAAGACCTAGGAAGTGTGTCTTGACTGGAGGAAGCCAAAGTGTCAAAGCTTTGTGACACTCCCAGTTTGCTCTCTCTGCTCTCTGCTGTATTTCACAATGTGAGCTCTCAGCTATTCCAGCTGCTATGCCTTCACCCCACCAACATGTACCCTAATCCCAAATAAACACTTTCTTTTATAAGTTGCCTTGGTCATAATACTGTATCATAGCAACAGAAAAATAACTAACACATTCTCTTTGCTGTAACAATTAATATTAATACTTCCATGGTGTTTATGCACTGGCCATTTGCTGTCTGATATCATCCATTATTGTACTATCACAATCAATCTCTTTAGTAGACGAACACATGGGTTCAAATCTACAAAACTAGTGTGCTTGGCATTCCCAAGAGCTGTACTTCTCTCTGCCTACACTGTTCTTGAGTTTCCTGGCAGCCTTCCTGTGAGCTTCATCCCAGTCATTACTTCTGTTTGGCTTATGAGACCTTTCCTGACCTTGTGAATAACAGGGGGAGCTCTCTCCTGTGGGGGACCCACTGTACTGTCCATAGCTAGAGTTGGAAAGTTCTAGAAGGGCAGAGCCCATATCTTATTCAACTTTACATCCATTACCCATGGTCTATAGCAAGGAAGGAAAAGTAAGAAGGAAAGGGGAAGAGGGCAGGAAGAAGATAAAAGGAAGATGAAAGGAAGGAGGGAAAAGGGAAAGAGAGAGGAAGAGAACCAAAGGAGATGCCATTACCACTTAATTAGTCAATGATTGTATTAAAGCAACTTCTTCATTTTTGGTCCCTGTTCCTAGTGCACATTGCCCCTATCAGGTAGGAAATGCAGCCATGGGAAGATCAATTGGAGTTTAGATTCAAAATGGTTGTTACCCCATGACAATAAAATGGCCATTTGAGGTGTTAGAGGAGACAGGCACCACCGCTTCCCATCATCTTTCATGCTATCAAAAAGCAAAAAGGACTGAACCTGGAGCTGAATTCAGGCCTGATGAACTTGGAAGATGAGAACCAGAGGCTACTGACACCCTGGCTCTCAACTCTGTGGAAAGCGATGAGGCATTGGTGGGAACAGAGAGAGCAGGTGGTAGCTCCTGAGGGATGAAGGGACCAGGGAGAGCTCTCTTGGAGCACACACTTCTCGAACCCAGGTCCCAGTCCTCTGAACTGTTATCTATCAAAGCTTTCCACACTCCATTCCTAGGTCACCTGCTTGATATCTAATTTCCCAACTGCAATCGCACTTGGAGAGACAGCAAGCACTAGGGATGATGAAGTGACAGAAAAATGGAGTGAGAGCAGAGGGCCCACACATGCATTCTTCAAAAATTCCTTTTGAATCTTCAGAGGTCATTTTTACCTTTTCCTAAGGTCAAAAATCTTGAATTCAATTATTTCCTTTGTTAACTTTGTAGCTGTTTATCTTAATGTTGACTGTATTCTGAACAGTTCCAGGCTCAGGAAATAGGGTAATAAGTAGTGGGCTCTACTGTCGTGGAGTGTTGTGGTCTGAATGAAAATGGGCCCCATAGGCTCAGAGGGAGTGGCACTATTAGGAGGTGCCGCCTTGTCAGAGGAAACTCTTGTTAAAGGAAGTTGTGATTTCCAATGGGCTTTGAGGTTTCAGATGCTCAAGTCAGACCCAGTGACTTACTTTCTCTTTCTGCTATCTTTGGATCCAGATGTAGAACTCTTGGCTACTTCTCCAGCACTATGTCAGTCTTCATGCTGCCATTCTTCCCACCATAATATAATGGACTAAATCTCTGAACTGTAAACCAGCACCAATTAAACGTTTTTCCTATATAAGAGTTGTCATGGGCCGGGCAGTGGTGATCCCAGCACTGGGGGGAGGCAGAGGCAGGCTGATCTCTGTGAGTTTGAGCCTGGTCTACAAGAGCTAGTTCCAGGACAGCCTGCAAAGCTACAGAGAAACCCTGTCTTGAAAAAAAAAAAAAGAGTTGCCGTGGTCATATTGTCTCTTCATGGCAATAGAAACTCTAAGACATGGAATATACTTATTTTTATGTTAATGTACAAAATAATAGGTTTTATTAATAATTAATATATCCCCATGCATTTGTCATTGTCCTTTGTACAAATCTGAGTTGGAAATACATTGAATCAAGATGGAGCCCTGTGGACAGGAACTCAAAGATCCTCCCCATCTTTCTGTATCTTTTCCCCCTTTTTGTACTTTGAGAAGCTTGGAAAATACAGGTCACTACTCTCCAAGACACCAACTCATATTCCATATTCTAACGCCTTTCTTTTCAAAACCAATTTCTTTGTACATTTTATTAGAAAAATGTGCTATTCTGCTTGCTCCAATAGACTCCTTTAAATGTAGTATTTCCAAACATTCAACAAAAGCTTCGGCTTTTAAGGAAGGAATGGGGCTTCAAGGCGATACAAGGGAACCGACTGGAGAGGAAGAATAATGAAGCACTGTGGTCTGCCTGGCTCATCTCCTTCCTCATCCCACATCGGAGGTCTTTGGTGTTAAGCTCATCTGGCTTAACAGGGAGTCTGGTTGGATACATATCTGTCACTGGCATAGCTCAGCTCCCAGTACCTGGGGTCCAGCCCAGGGATCCCTCCCACCAACTTCCTCATGTTATGTGTCTCCCCACTCAACCCTGCTCTACCTCTTTCATGATCAAGCCTTTGTAGTCTTGATCTCTCAGTTGAAGACCCACAGAAATTCCTCCTCCCCTATGTACCAGTGGCCAGTATGAGCCAGATTGCCAGAGCCCCTAATGATTGGTTATTGGGCTCTATAACAAGACCCCCATTAATGCTTTGTTGTCAGATGTGCTATCCTCTGTCACACCATTCTGGACCCATCCCATCTTGAGTGTCAGAGCTAGAATGAGGCTGGGGGAGGCAGCTGAAGTGACTGGAACATAAGCTTAAAGCATTACCTACTCTTGAAGGTTGCTCTAGGCACCTGACTCCATAACCTGTTCCTTCATCCTGATAGCAAACCTTCCTAAACCTGTTTGAGATGTAAGGAATCTACACTAGAGCTTTTCAAATTGTTGTTTTTAATGCCTGGGAGGGACCACATGATGACATATAGAAAAATCCTACTGCTGAGGGTGAAAACTTATGGGGGAGAAAAAAGTATTTTTTTTTTTATCAAGTGCAGCCAGTTTTACAGCCAGTGATTAATCTCTTTATGAAAAATAGCAATTTGAACATTGGCAAGAGTAATTACACCTTTTCTTTGTGTGGTAGTTGAGCATTTCCTGCTGTAATAATTCAAGTGAGTGCCTCATTTGGGGAAGCAGAGATGTCAGCACACCATTCGTTTCCTCCGCGTTGGCCCGTTTGTTTCTTCATGAACTCTGCCAGGGTCTGCTACCGGTGATTCATGACACACGTCAACCTGGGTTCTATAGGGCATCTCCAAGAAGGACCTCTGCACAGAGCACATTTCTCAAGTTGGTGACAACTCAGTGACCCAGTGACTTGGTCACAAGGCTCTTTAGCTGTAAGTTCCTCTCTTCTAAGATTTCCAAGGCCATTGTATCTGGAATTGTAAGATATGGAAAAGGAAAAAAAAATCCCTGCAACATGGGTCAGACCTCTTGGGTCCTTATTTCTACTCTGGTTCTAATTTTGCTAAACCAGACCTTTTATCTCTTCATCTATACAGAGAGAAGACTGGGGAGAGTGACACCAGTCAGCTTGAAAATTCCATGGCATCTCTTGATATGACCATCAGGGCTGGCTTCCTGTCTTTGTTTTCCAGAAGATTTCCACAATAGCACTGGCAATCTCCACTCACAGCCAGGTTGCCACACCTGTGATAATTGAGGCAAGTGAAAAGACTCTTGGGTATTCATCTCTTGACCCAACCTCTCAGGATCCCTCCCTTCCTGCTCCACAGCATATCCCTCCTCCATCTTCTCCTCTGCTGGGGCTGCTAACTCAAGCATCCCCAGAGGAGGCCTCTCTGCCAGCTCCCCAGCACCTTCTCCCTCCTGCCAAGGTTTCTGACTCAGCGTTACAGTGTAGCATATGGCATCCTGGTCAAGATTACAACTGAAAATTGCTTCTCCCGGTTTGCCCCTTCAGGGTACCAGAACTGTGATGGCAGCTGAAATTGGATTGCTCACACTAGAGAACATTTGACTTTACCCAGAAGAGCTCTTTACCTTGGACTATTAACTTTGCTTGTACATCATCATATATAAATATGGAATTATATATATGCATGAATATTTACAATAAGCAATGCTAATGTTAACAATAATACCATTCTATCACTACAATTGCTTTACTTGTATCTGATTATCTAAATATCACTAACCTGTTGAAGTTCTACTCTGAAGAACATATTCAGAATGCTTTTTTCTATGTGTCAACTCTTTCAACTAGTTTTGGAAAGACAAGATAGGGCAGGACTGGGAGGGTACCCATGCTGATGTCAATTGGGCTTAGCATGGCTTCTTCGAAGCCGTGCTAAAAGGGGTAGTGTGGCAGTATTGTGCAGAAGGAAGTGCTTAATGGAGGAGCCACATGTCCTGGATAAGCCAGGAACTGCACAGCCTGTGTGCTACCTACATGCCACGCATGGGTGACGTCTTTGAAGTCCTTTCACACCTCAGAGGGCACAACATGATACTCAAAAAACCTGCCTATTGTCTGTGGTAGACGAAAGTCCCAGACATACAATAATTCCAGTGAAGAACACTGAATTAAAGGACACATGATGGGGCCTCACTTCTATGCCATCTCTGTGGTAAATGAGTTTAAAAATGAAGTCATTTTGGTGAGGATGGAAGAGATGTCATTGGGACTACTACTGCTGACAGGAAGGTGAATAGAAGAAGATGGAGACCCTGTATCCTGTTAGACCATCATGAAGCAAATAGCTTCATACAGAAGGGTAAGGTCAAACCCTTTTGGATCCTATACTGACATAACTCCATCCTTACTGAAAAATGGTTAACTCTTAGTCAGGCAAGACTACAATAAATCTCACCAATATCAAATGGATTCCCCCAAATTTCCTGTTAGACACTGTATTTTCCAAATTCATGTTCATGCCAGTAGGAGGTGAGCTCTTTGGGGGATGGTTGGGCCTTATGCCCTCATGAATGGGTTGAACCATTCATAGACTAATAGATTATTACTATAAAGAAATGGCTTTGTTACAGAGCAAACTCATCTGGCTGATTGCTGTGCTTCTTGGGACACCCACTGCTATGGCATGGCCAGCAAGATGGCACTCACTCAATGCCAAGAGACTGCTTCTGCTATGTTCTTGCACTTCCCAGTACATGGAATTTAATAAACCTCTGTATGTTATAGATTATCTAGTCCCAGATATTCTGTTGCAGCAACAGAAAATGCTAAAACAGTGTCCTACCTATCCTCATCCTGGTTTAGCAGTACCCTTGGTCTTTGCTTCCACATAGTGTCCTCCATGTCTCTTTATGTCAGAGCCAGGTTTTCTTTCCAAAGATCCCCCAGCACACCAAGTGCTAAGAACTATTTTTTTCCATCCAGTTTTGTTTTAGAATTTGAGGAAAGAGTCCCTATCAACCTATATGCCTATAGGGTTTTTAGGTACATTTTCCTAAATACACTTAAAAGTCTTTTATTATGCATAAGGATATTTTGCCTGCATGTATGTCTGTGTACATGTGTGTGCTAGATACCTGCAGAAGTCAACAGAGGGTGTTAGATTTCCTAGAACTAGAGTTACAGACAGTTGTGAGCTATCATGCAGGTGTTGAGAGTCAAACCTGGGTCTTCCAGAAGAGCAGCCAGTGCTCTTAACTGCTGTGCCAACTCTCCATTCCCATGACAATATTTTAAGAGTCTTCCTTCTGAATTTGATAATTGCTTGAAATTTTGAGGATTTCTATTGTCTACGGTACAGCCCTCCCACCTGGGAATCTACTGATCTTGTATATTGCATTGCCTTCTCTGTCTTCTCTGAGCCCCATTTAACCTGACTATTCTGTGGCTCCAGGATGGCTTTCAGTGGATGGCGTATTTTAATAAGAACAAAGAAGATTCTAAAATTAATAGACTCGATGATATGTTCAGGGGTGAGGTCTCTCTGGCACAGCAGCGATGTATTCAGCATTTGGACAACAGAGAGAACTTAAATCTTCACAGTTACCTTGGTGTCATTTTGGGGGGAACACTGGTTGTTTTCCCAGGACTCCTGGTCTACAAGTCTGAGCAGAAATGACAGGAAGCTCTGCTTGACAGAACAATCCCAGAGCTGCTGGGTATGTGTCGGGATACAAGGAAGAGGAGAGCAGAATTTATCACAGTAAGCCTCTTGGGAAATTAGAGGTCATTTAGTATACAATGCATTTCTCACAACTCCGAGCTCCTTTGCCTACTGGGGACCTGCAGCTTACTGAGGCAGGAAGCCACACCTGTGCTAGCTGCCACAGTCCATGTCTGACTTTATAGGTGGTTGTGGGGGTGGGGTGTACACATGCTAAGTGCCTCATGGCAGCATTGTGTAAGCCAGGCAGGTCACTGATTAGTCTATCTATCCACATCTAGAATGAGTGTCCCTCTTGGGCAGAGGACGTATATATTGGCATGCCACAGAGAGTACACAGTGGCCCTTCAACCAAGTGCTCTTTCTGGTACCACTATAGGGGTCATGCCTAGAGCTGGCCTTCCTCATGCCTTCCATTCTGCACTCATCTACAGCTGTGGGACAACTTTCACCAGGCTGTTTTCTCTTCATGGCTACTCTTCTTTTGTTTTCCTATGTTATAATACTTTTCTGGACTATGCCGTTTGTATAATTTGTGTGTCTTTCCCCACACCCCAAATTCTTGTGAAAGATATTTAATTCCCAAATTCATGTGCTGGTGGTATTTGGAGATGAGAGCTTTAGAAAATAATTAGGAGCCAGGCAGTGGTGGCACATGCCTTGAATCTCAGCACTCTGGAGGCAGGCGGATCTCTGTGAGTTCAAGGCCAGCCCAGTCTAGAGTGAACTCCAGGATGGCCAGGGCTACACAGAGAATCCTTGTCTCAGGGCAGGAAAAAGAAGGAGGATGAGGAAATAAGTAAACAAACAAATAAGTAAGTAAATAAATAAGGATTTGATGAAGTTATGTGGTGAAGTCTCCAGGATGGCATTAAACTTTCTAAGAAGAAAAAGAGAAACACAGAAGGCAGGCTCACTTGTTTCACTGAAGGAAGCACTGCACTGTGTTATGAGCCAATGAGAAGGCCTGTGACAGATATCGGTCCCTTGCTATTGAACTCCCCAGCCTCTAGTGATGAAAACGAAAGTTCTCTTCTTTGTACATTATCAGAATGCGGTATCCTCTTGTAGCGACAGACCAAGGCTGTGTCTTTTTCTCCTCTCCACATCACTGAGTGGACCACAGAAAAGCTGCACACACAAAAGCTGGGTGAATTCAAAAAAGGATTTTCTAGGCTTGGCAGGCTGACAGAGTTCTTCTGTTGACTATTTCCTGTTCTCATCTTTGTCACTGTCCCTGCTTCAGTTTACTATCAGTTCTTTTGACTTTAGATTATCATCTGTCCTGTGTTCTACATAACTAAGCTGATGAGTCATAAGAAGACCCAGCATCATCCCAGTGAGCACTGCTCTGAGTGCCTCTGGGCTAGACTGCAGAAGATGCAGCCCTTGGCTCCACCCTCTGCCCCTGCACAAACCTGGTGGGCAAGTGACATGTAGTTGTAAAGTGGCAGGGAAAACTGTTGTTTTCCTCAGCTCAAGATCTGCCCATTTTGGTGCTGTGCCCTGTGTATATATGTTCAGATAAACAAATGGAGGTTCTGATCCTGTTGTCAAGTACCAGGGGCTATGGAAGGGGGAACAAAATATAAGAGCCAAGGTTGAAGAAGTCAGGAAGCTTCCAACAGGACTCAGGGCTGGAATGTTCTGGAAGGTGTGTTAAGGTCCACCTGGGTGATCCTAGGGAATCAAGGGCAGCCGTCTGAGTAGGGGCCACTCCATTGTTCAAATGGAAATGGCTTCTTTGAGTTAGTAATTATGGTGACGATGGCTGGAGACGCTAGGGATAAATCTGCCCTAAATAGCAATTTTTAACTATCCCAGTGAGCAGTCAAGAGAGGCTTAGTCACCACAGCCACCAAATGTTGTCACACACCTCAAGTGCTCTTATGTGTCCAGAAAATTCACAGCCACTCTCTTAGGTGTATAGACTCTGCTGAGCTGTCATCATTCGGAATGTTAGACTTGAAGATGGTGTGGAGGAAAATAGGCTTTCTCTCTACATTAGATTTTTGTTATTGTATTTCACAAGGACTTTTAGATGTGAATTGGCAAACACTGATATATCATTAAAGTAATGAACATAAAGAGAGACAAAGGAGTCAGCATTAGATAATTAACTGGAGTTACTTCTCTGGTTATTGTGGGGAGTGCTATGGAGAAATAGAACCAGGTGCTTTGGACCAGTATGATGGGGGCTCAGATCTAGCATGGGGCAGAGAGGAATGTCTCTGGAAGACCCTGAAATTTCGAAAGACAAGGCAGAATCTAATAAATGGTTGAATGAGGATGCTCCGATGCTTCTTGACTGGGGCAAGATCCACCTCTCTGGTTATCCTTCTGTGAGTGACAGTTCCCTACAGTGAACTCTATTGGCCAGTTTTGACCCTTAGAGTTTGTGCAAGCAGAAGTGGTGGCCACAGCAACCACCTCTGCCATGAGGTGTGCAAACATCATCTCCATAGCTTTACTCTGAACTAGGAACAGAGGTGGGGCTCTGGGTACCACAGTGCCCTGCTGATCTTTTGCTTTGTCTCTTACAGTTAGATTGAGTTCAAACCACACAGCTCACACCCGTATTGCAATAGCACTGAGAAGTAGGGCTACTGGGTGTCCCTTCTGTGCAAAGAACACACGTTCTAAGGCCCCAGTGGATGCCTGAAACTATTGCTACACACACACACACACACACACACACACACACAAAATACTATAAACACCATATATACATGGAAAGAGAGAAAGGCACAATGAGAGAGACGGATACATAGACTGTCTCTTTTTGGTATACATATGACAAAATTCAAATCATAAATTAGGTACAGTGAGAACTTAATGCAAATAGCAAGAAAATAGAACAGTCCCCACCATTGCTGTAATAAGAGTGATGCAATTGTGGTCTCTCTTAAAATATTTTATTGAACCAAACTTGAGCTTCTTCTAGTGATGATGTGCTTAAAAGGAAGCTTCATGGTTTCTCTTTAGCATAACCAAATACCTGCACCATGATCCTGGCATTTGGGAGCCATTATTAACCAATAAGGATTTCCTGAACTCAAGCACTGGGATACTGTGGTAGGTGAGCCAATACCTAGATGACTACTAAGTGAGTGGTGGGTCAGGAGCATGTAACCTTCATGGGTATGCTAAGCAAAGAGATGGTTTATGTCCCAAGTAGAGCAACGCAGTGTGAGATGTCACCTCACTACTCAAAATGGCATGCAATCCCCAAAGCAGATTATTTCCAGAATTTTCTATTTAATATTTACAGACTGTGGTTGACCCCAGGTAACTGAAACACACAAACAAGCTGAGCTTTCTACATTTCTGACTCCTTTTAGCATGCAGACTTGGAGGCCTATGGTGTCCAAACATGACCATGAATACAGAAGCACTGGTAATAGCCATCATGAACTTCAGAAAAAGGCAAAGAAACTTAGAGGTCCGAATCGGCTGAAGAAAAAGGGATGAGCGCCTTGATAGGCCTGGCCCAGTTCTGACACCTCCGTTCTGTGGACACCACCTCTTATGCAGTCAAAAGCTGGGTGGGAAAGGGGGGAGTGGAAGTCATGGAAATTTTGTTGCAGTCTTCCAATTTTCTTGGCTATAAAAGTAATATGACCACATGATTCTCACTCGTTTAGGAGTAAAACACCCATAAATCAGTAAATTATGAAATTAGAAAATGGCTGTCCTGGGAACACACTAAAGTGGCAGTTTTCTCCAGCAAGAGACCCTGTGGACTGCTTTATACTGCTATGCTACCTTGCCTGTCACATTCCCCAGGTCTAGCTGGAGGACCTGGACATGGAAGGCAGAGGTCAGCCTTAGGAATGAGATTGGACTTTGCTCACTGTGGTTTGCAGCAAAGTATCAATATCCACTAGGCCTCCAGTCTGCACTCTGCAAAATGGGAATACTGATTTCTAATTCCTCCAAAGATGGGTGAAGGGGTTTGTGGCTGAGAAAACAAAACTAAAGGCTGAATTAATTTTTTATTTTCATTGTCTTAATTGGGCCCTGTGTTTTTATGTGTATGTATTTATGTATGTATGCATTTAT